TTTTTTTTGTGATCGGACCTTTCAGGGTCACCACGCGCATATAAAAGGAAAGTTTAACGTCCCTTTAAACAGTTCTTCGTGAGTTTTTGAGTAGTCTTGGTAAACTTTCACGTTTCGTTTTCTCGACCCCTGGCACACGCGGAACCGGTATGTGAGTGTCTTTGTAACTTTGTTTTTCTAGTATAGTCTTTTCAGTGTCGGGCGACAATATACGAACAGATATTTCGTTGTGTTGCCGTATTCTCTATTGATTTAAAGGCCAGAATTGTACCAAATGCGAGTGAACCCCCATCATTTAGATGAGAACAATGGGCTCTTTACCAGCCACCAATATTCTTTTAATTTGTATCGAAACTTTTGTTCTGTTTCATTTGTATTGTTAATCTCGTTATCGACGTTAAAGCCCAGTTTTTTACACGCGATTCTTTGATTATGTATTCCATGGCATTTCATTAGATTGGTAGAACTTCATTGTATTGTTGTTTCAGTTTACGATCCATAGATTGATTGATTGTGAGATTAATCGTGATTTTCATCGTTGATTGTGGTTTGTGGTCGATTGCCTTTCAAGAATGGATTTACAAACAGTCGACTTTGGTGTGTCATCTCGATCTCTAAAATAGTCCCCAAACACCTTGTTAACTGCGTTTTGGAGTGACACCCCCTTGAACTTGAGAGTTTAGATTTTTGTTCGCCGCAAACGCTACAAATACTTCTAAGCATAATCAATTGCAGTAGCACAATTCATATTTGACAATAGCACCAGCACCATGCACTCGATAGGGAAAAAGAAAGGAAGCAAACGAAAATTCGGGCATGTACGAAATTACTCGCTCTATTGGGTATTACCATCATTTGCAGTTTTGGCACATGTATAACTCATGTGTTTAAAACTCGTTTGGAGCACTAGATATGTGCCGAGTAACTTATTTCAGCTTTGCAAATTCCGGCCATTTTGTTCTGTCGAATGCAAAAACAGATTTGATTTTTCTACGAATAAGGACTTCCAGAAAACGTTATTACCAACATGTGTCTGTTTAACTGACCTGTTATCGATGATGATTAAAATGACAAAATGGGTGTTTTGAGTCCTGTCATGAAGTGAAAACTTTTTTTCGATAGTAGCAAACACTTTCTTATTGACCTGTTCTGCACCGTTCTGATCTTAATGTTCGTTGCTTTATTGGAATAAAATTTGGATAATTTTTCGTGGCGTTCACCCTAGGGAGGAAGAAGTGTGTTTTTGAAAACGTAGAGTACGAAAGGCATGGTTCATGAAGAGAAAACACCCTTACAAGCCTTCGCTGGAAACTGCAGTCCAATATTTCACTCAGTTTTATTTTTGTCGTCTTTAATGAAATTTTCTCAATCGTAGTATGTTCATAAAAAGCATTTAGCTTCAGACTGGGGAGTTAAGCCTATTGTTCAAATTTAACAACTATTTGAAATTACAGTAAACATTCTAAAATATCCCTCTTAAACGCCAGTGTTTCTTGTTCCTTAAAATAGATATGAATTTCTTTTTCGTCCTTTGCGTATACATCTTAGGCAGTTTTTTCCGAACCCTTTGGTGTAACACTTACACCCCTGGCCCACTGTATTACAAATTTGAGTTCTCACTGAATTGTTTGAGAACTTATTCATAATTGTTGTTAAGAATTGACAATTTGGTTGGCATGTGGGATCCGAGTGCGGCAAGTGCTCAACGCTATCCTGGGCATCCTTGATCCCACTAGGGAACTTGTAAGAAATGTAATCTTCATTTTCGTCCCACATGTAACGTCCTAGCTCAGCAGCTTTATCTCGCCGCAGCTGTGGCTTACTGTATGAGGTTGAAGTCGCCAGCAGTAATACAAGGAATACTTTGAAAGCAACAAACTGTGAATAACATAAAGACATAACAACATTTAATAGAGAATAAAAAATAAATTGAGAAAATGAAGTTTTAGCGATCCATAGATTTATTTACGTGTTTTTTATGGTGGTTGTTACATACTTTTGGGTTTTAGCTTAAATTGCTAGTAAGTAACGAATGTTTACGAAATTTGTTAAAAGCAGTGGCATTCCGTCTGTGGTCCCTATTCCTAACAGCAGCCGTAGATTGAAGTCTTCCTTGCCTCAACGCTTGAGACAGATCTATCGTCATTATCGCTTAGTTTAAAACTGATACAGGGACAAAAGCTTTGCTTTTGGTTGGTTGACGCTTCATTCCGGTAGAAGTAATTACATTCTTCTTCCGGCCGCCGTCTGCTTCTCAAAATCGATTCTGCCTAAGTTCCCTTAGCGTTCTTACAACGGAATAAATAATCGAAACATAGACCTTTTGCTTTAATCATCTCAGTGATTGAAATCACTTATTACAAAAAAAAATTACTAAATGATCGAGATCGAAAAATAAGCCAACAAATGGCAGTTGTTCACCAATGTACTCTTCACCTTTCGGAAATTAACCGATAAATACCTTGCCAGTGGTGTTAAACATTTCCGCTTCTTGTCGATGACGATATACTTGAAAATATCGTCAGACTCTTTGATCACCCTCTTAGCTTTGTCGATTATATGATCTTTTGGGAACTAGAGAAGCTCAATTTATATCTTTTAGGCAATAAGACCATGGGGAAACGAACTGTTTGTAGAAGATTTAATTTAGATCATTTAAACATCACCAGCTCATATATGGCCAAACAGAAGTGCACAATTAGGAAGAAATATGGAAATAAACAGGTGAAAAGGATGTGTAGTTCTAAAGTTTTTAATTGAATTCCTCTTCTTGGTCTTGTGGGTGTAAAACCATAATGTCAACAGCATTTCAAGACTTTAACATGCGGAAAGAGGAAAGAGAAATAAAACTCCTAGATACTTCAGCTTTTTGTTGTTTCAAACCGTTGGATTTGCGGCATTCATATTTTGCCTATTTTATGGCAGTCGAGTCCAAATCCGTCAAGATTCTCCAGACAATCTCACCATTCTTTCTTTTTGGAAAATTCCATGGGCAACGCTTTAGAGTAGACCAATAATCAATTTTCTACTTTGTCGCCGACATTAAGTGTTTCAATACCATTTTGACAGGGGATGATGCTATTGTCATGAAAAACCAATCAAAAGTTAATTTTTCAAAGACAGTTAATTTTTCAAATTAGAATGAGCGAGGTGACAAAATATTGTCTCGCGTTCTCAATGAGCTTGTCTTCAAACTATGAGTTTGAAGTGAAACCCAGAGTCATGAAATAATGAAAAATTATCGTAAATCTTTTACTGATGATTGTAAATCATGCTCTTTGAAAACCGGAAATAACCCGACATTCAACTCGCACCTCGCTCTCTACGAAGCATCTGAATCTGCTCTCATGTCAATGTGGTGCTTCGTAAACCTTGTGAGGGTGGGATGTGCTTATAGCGTTTCTCGAACGCCTACACGTTTGATTATTGACGTTTCAATCGGTTAATTCCAGAGAACTTTTAAAACATTCCTATGTGTGGGTGGCCGTGTATTCTACATGTTTTAACGGAATTTATCATTTGGAATGAAATATTAGTAACCATAAAATAGTTATGAAAATGAAGCGACGGAAAGTAGTACGAAAAATTTGCTCTTAAATTTTTTGCAATCGAATCTTATGGCTATGGTAGTATACAAGACTTGAAATAAGCCACAAACATGTTCCTCTGTTTGGTGTGATTACCTTTGATTAGGTTAGTTTTTGCAGAAATTCTCAATCCTCATTTAAACGGTAAAACTGATGACGGTTGATCACAAGAACTTTTCCTTTCCCTTTCGTCAGCGTTACCCCATCTTCTGTTACATACTGATTGAATAGAAGAAAAAAAAAAGCTTAAAAGTCAGGATTGAGTTACATTTCTACCAGTATCGTACATAATGGACAGTTCTAATTCTTCATCCTAGATTGCCAATCGATAGTTGACTCAGCATTTATAACCTGCTTGGACATCGTAAGCGATTATTAATCTTTAATTGACTGCGTGGTAGACATTTTGTTTCCTAAGTTCCTAGCTCGCTATAAAAGAGTTAATTCGTTTTTACAGCTCCATTATGGTAATGATGCCGGCCTTCAATGATAAAAAGTCGAAAGTAAAGAATGATGTCGCATACTTCGTAATGGTTCTAGGAGTAAAAACTGGGGGATATGAAATATTGGTAAATTGAGAAACGATTTCTTTCCACCGAAAAAAAAAAAAAAAGACAAGAAAAGAAAACTAAGTATGTTCTGAACAAGAGGAGATTACCTGTTTCAATTCTTTGCATTGATAATCTTCCTTCCGCGTCTATTGAGCGTTAGAGATCTCATTGTGACCATATTGTATAATAATATGTATATTTAAGAACTTAGATCTGAAGTGTATTGATGTTATTTCTCTCTTTAGTTCCCATCATAAAATACAGCGCTGACGGTGAATTTTGTACCAAAAGGTACTGCATGAACAGCCTTTTCGCGATGTTTTGTCTGTGTTCAGTCCTTTCGGTTTTTTTCATATCGGTCCAAAACTTTTTAGATTCATCACCTTCCGATAAATGCCAGTAAAAGCGACAACAGAATTTTTCAACTTTTTTTAACATAACGCTTCTTTTCACGGGAAGAAGATAGAAATATACAAGCCAACCTAGATCTGCCTGAGCCAATAGACTATGTTTCATATTCCTATAACCTCTTCTTTACATTCTAAGCCTAAACTTAAATTTAATAACCAGTTAGCAGCAGATGGCTGGTGTGTAGCGACGTACTTAAAACATCGCATCGCGTCTTTCATCCGGTGTAGGTCTTTATTAACTTACATAACATATCCTGTCACCCAAAATATTTCCTTTCCTATTTGTAAATGTCATGTTTTCCCATTTTAGTCGATAACCATAATACTTTAAACAGTTGTGGACCGAATAATCCGGAGTGAAAGGGATACGTATGCTCCACTGAGTTTGAAATAAATGCTTGAAATTAATGCGAGCTTGCACCTGCAAATATTATGTTCAAGGCTGTCCCTTAAACTCCTAACGTTTTGTGGGCGCAATTTAAAGTAGTCAGCTCTTAATAACTGAATCTCTAAGAGGGTAGGTGGATATAAGGGAAAAAGTCAGAGAAATAATACTTCATTGAGACAAAACGTATAAAATATTTTGAAAAAGAAAGAAAATCTAAACAAACAAACAAAAAATTATATTTTTTCATAATTTTCTAAACTGCTCTGCGTATATGCAACTGGAACTGCAACCGGAATGAACATTTCAGCCCTACGCAAAAGACAAACATGACAGATATGCTAAGCAGGCGCATGAAAGTCTAAGTTCAAAGTCGGTATTCAGAAAGGCAAAACAGAATAAAAGAAGAGATGCTTATCTCACGAGCCTTAATTTCTCTTTAATTTTTTAATGAAGTCCTTTACCTAAGACTTATTGGCTCCTCTGAGCTTCCTTGCCTTGTTAGTGTTTCATTGACTTCATATTTGTCTAAGTGGGTGTAAATATGAGGCAAAGTCACTAAAAAAATTAAACTTGGAAGCGAACTGAAACTTGAAACTGAACTGAAACTTGAATCTGACGGACACTCTATGAAACCAACGCAGTGCCTACGCGGTTGTCAACACTAAAGTTATGTCAGTAATCATAAATTGAAGCATGCATAAGAGGAACACAAGATATTGTAACTTAAGTTTGTTTTATCCTAGATATACCAATGCTACGGAGGGTGGTCGCTCTTTTCCAGTTCGTTCTATTAGGGATTAGCTCTCTTTACCTTGATCTTTGAGAGTTTTGGACAGTTACTCACGTTTTAAGACAACGCTTTTTAAGAAAATTTTAGTCACTCAGAAAAAGGACTTGAGTTTTTTAACTTTAGACGATATTAGACATATTTCTAATTTTTTAAGGTCTTTTTGCCTAAGTTAAGTAGCACTAGTATAATATTTTCTTAGTGTTTTCGAAGGCCACTAGGTTATAAGTTGTTGATACTGTCATGTGCTACCCTGTGAAATAAAGTCACCGCTACTACTACTACTACTACTACTACTACTACTACTACTACTACTACTACTACTACTACTACTACTACTACCACTACTACAAAACGGAAAATGAAAAACCTGGGGGGTGTATCCCCTGCGATGATAAACTAGACTCAAATACGACTTCTTAAATAGACTGAGGACACAGACCACAAGATTGAAATGGTTATAACGTCTTTGAGAAAATGAAAGACAGCATCGCTATCCCCATTACTATAACCTAAACTGCTTGCATGAACTACAAAAAACGTAACTAGAAACGGCGTACTCTTCTATTACTGAACAGTTCCTCATTGAAGCAGAGGTGTGGTATCGGTTTCGTTAATGCATTGCTAACAACCAACAATAGTAAAAGGGATCTTTCATCGGAGCATACCTGGCATTTATATATATTTTACAGGTCATTTTTTGATTTAGAGTTTATTCTCGTAGACATTTGACCCGCTTTTTAGTTACCTTTCACCGTACTCATCCTCCTCTCTTTTCTCCTTCACTCCTTCTCCTACTGATACTCACAATACTAGTGCAGTTCGTGGCGCGCGACGGCCTGGAACCCACGATTTCAATTAAATTCAACGCATGCGTAATGACATCCTCTTTCTTCTATGGGCAAGCTTCGGTCTGTTTCACTGACAAGAAATCCGTTTAAAAATCGTCTATTCGAAACACTTTTCGCCACTTCCATGCAAGAATAGCCTCTGAAAAGGTAAGTGCTGAATATGCAAGCTGTTTCTTAAATTAATTAACGAAATATATCGGAAAACAACTCGGTAAAACTATAGCGCTTTGTTATGCTATTTTTCGCGGACTTAATGTCGCCTGATCGTATACCTTCCGTCAAAGTCCTGGTTTTTCCGTTCTACTTGATTATATCTCCTGCAGGTACCCATATTGCAGGTAGATAAATGGAACATTCGTCTGGAGTGCCCGCTCGACGAATATATTTTACTACAAAAAAAAAAATTACAATTGTAATATATGACCTTGTTTCCTGCAGGTACCCATCTCGCAGGAACCAAACGATATGCTCATCAAGGGTACCAGCTCTGATGATGCATCAGCAACATCTATACCAGTGACAAGAGATGGAATAATTTCTCTGATTAAAAACAAAGTCACTGAGACACTAAAGAGGGCTTTATCAGATATTTTAAGAATTGCATTTATGACAGATCCTGATGGCTTCCAAGCAAAAGAAGTTGGGGCACAGCCACAACCCAAAAAAGCCAAAGCAGATGATAGTGAAACACCAGTCTCTGTTGTCTCTGGTCGGTCTGACAAATATTATGCACCTGCACAATATCCTGATATTAAAGGAACAAATGATTTCGTAGTGTCACCCGTAATGCAATCTGGGATGAAAGAGGACATTGAACGTGTCTATGGCCTATCTCAAACGAAAGATTTGTTCATATTTGATGAGGGTTTAGCTGCCAAACAAGCATCCTTTATTTCTGTTCGACCACTTGTTAGTGCTCTACAAGCGTTAGAGCCGACAGGAGAAGTGAATGTCGATGAGGATGTGCTCTCGGGTCCTGATCCCGA